TGATATAGTTTCAGGGCGATTGTTAAATGTCAGATCCTGTGGTGGAATTGGGGTTCAATAAGTATACACTGTAAAAAAAATAAGCTTCCACTTCCACACAATTCATTCATTCAAACAAAAATTGATTAAGTTAACTTAAATGTTCTGACAAATTTAAGTGGATTGAACATAAAACAATTAAGTTGTCCCAAAAACTTGCAAATATTGTGATTTATCCAGCTCATTATAAATAAGTACTTTGACCAAGCAGCACATTTTTTAAGTGTATGACAAACTTTCATTTGTAATGGTTAATCTTTGCAGTCTATCCTAAGGTCACATGCCTACCTAACTGTGTGGCCAATGGATCAGCTCCGATCTTACGCTGCAGATTAACTACAGTCTGTTTCAAACCTTGAGCTAGACTTGAGCTGAAAGCCATCAAAGCTCCACTTTAGATTTTATAGATGTGATTTTTTTTTAGTTGTCATGATGCTAATATTCTGTTCTGCTTCTGGTAAAAATAGAAGGTGCCATTACCAAAAAAAAAAAAAAAAAAAGCTGAGATGTGAAACCAAATGTGAAGTCCCCATCATCACATGACATGTGCTTGACGGAGCTTGTAACACCTGTCTGAATTATTTTACTGGAAATGATTATGACAGCGGTTTCTTTGGCAGTCACTTGTGACACTCTACTTTTATGAGTGGAGGATTATGGACCATAGATGACCTCTAGCTAACCAATAAATGCCATTCATTTGCATTAAAGAAAGAAGAAATATTTTGTTTTTAGTTCAGAGTGATCTGATTCATTGACTTAAGGGTGAATTCATGCTTGATTTGGTGTTTTGGCTTCATTTAGTTGTTTGAAATGTCTAATGAGGGATAATTTATCATATGTTATCTGTGCTTTGTTCCTGTGCTAGTTAAGTAGCCTGTTAACCTACTAAACTTCACTACTCAATCTCTGTGGGACTGAATTATACTCTGAATGTTCCACTGAGTGGTTTTGTTTGCCTGAAACGAGACAGAAGTGGGGGGAAAACTGAACAAAGTGTGGTGTTGTTTCTGCTTCTTCAATAATCCTGTGGGGCATCCCATGACTTAGATTTAGTATTTAATTAATGCCTCACGGGCGGCGCTGGAAACTCTGTGGCTGGTCGTGATGAAAGCTGGTCAGGTGAAGACTTTAGTGTGCTGAAGTCTTGTAGATGAAGTGTTTCATTGAAACGGCGGTGGCTTTGTACCTTAAATCTGGCTTCTCTCCATCCCATGTTCTAGAGAGTTGCTATTTCTGCATTTATTTATTTCAATAAGTCAATGGGTTTCTTGCACAGGCTTTGGTTTCTTTCTCTTCATAAGACCTCAGTGTATCTTCAGGAGCCACAAGTAGCCATTGATAGTAAATGTATTTACTGTGATTGTTTGTATACTGACTTAAAACAACTGCGATTAATTTAAGGTAATTCTTGTGCATTTTGGTGGCACGGTGGCTCAGTGGTTAGCACTGTCGCCTCACAGCAAGAATGTCGCTGGTTTGAGTCCCGGCTGGGCCAGTTGACATTTCTGTGTGGAGTTTGCATGTCCTTTCTGTGTCCAAAGACATGCAGTATAGGTGAATTGGATAAACTAAATTGACCATAGTGTATAAGTTGTGTGAAAGTGAGAGTGTACCCAGTACTGGGTTCCGGCTGGAAGGGTATCCACAGCTTAAAACATTTGCATAGTTGGTGGTTCATTACGCTGTGGTGACCCATGATTAATAGGGACTAAGCCGAAAGAAAATTAATGAATGTCGCGCATTTTGTCAGTAAATCCAGTTCTGTTATCAGCAGGAAGTCGCTAGCACTTTCTTCCAAATGGAGCATCATTTGCTACAAGGATTCGTAGTTTAATGACAAGCTATGCAGTATTGTATTCATAATTGCAGCTTATTTAATCAGTCAATGATGAAATATAATTTTTTTTGCAATAATGACAGCTGTTTCCAAAGATTCTTCGTTAACTAAGAGTCTGTTTTGCTGCTACATCTGAAAGCATGTGAAAACACCACATTTAAAACATGTTTTTACTTTATTATTTTAGTTTAGTGTTTGAAATATATATTTTTTCATAGTTGTGTGATTAGTAGTCAAGCTGAATCAATAAAAGCAGTTAAATCTTATGTTTATTCAACAATCACTATGGGGATTTCCTGTGTTTCTTTTTGGTTGTTTGGAGTTTCTGCAAATGAGAGCATCCTTTGGACATTTACTACTGATCACGCAACCATATACAGATGAACATGGCAATCGCAGCTTTTGATTAATCGTTTTGTGATTTAATTTGGATTGCTCACGTAGTCACTTTCAAAGTCTTGCTGATCCATAACCTTATGTATAGGTGCTGTATGTAAGTTTTTGACTCTTCTAAATAGGGCTGCACAATTTAGAGAAAAAATCTAATTGCAATTTATCTGATCAAAATTGCGAGATGTGATTTACTATAATACATTTTAAATGAGTTGCAGATTTGATGTGGTGGTTTTATTAACATCAAAGAAAGACCAAGCATAAATGGTTTTAAATAAACAATTTATGTTTGGCCTTTCTTTCCAATATAGTTGTAAGTTGTCATGACAAATTAAGAAAATAACTAGTTCTTTCTTTTTTTTTCCAAATATATTTTTATTGAACATTTTTAATGCAAAAACATGTCAGAAAATTACATTAAGAAGATAATATCTGTCATACATGTAATTTCAATTCTGACACACATGAGAAAAAAAATTGTAAATAAGATTAAATTGTAATTAAATAAACAAAAACGGTATTGACAAAATATACAAAATTATATTGCAAAATGGCATGCTATATTTCTTTTGTCCAACTACAGTATTTTAAACTCAATCAATTTTTCAAGATTTTATAAATATCATTTATTTGATTGAATAAATAAAACCTTTACATTTAGATTGGGTTGCATTTTTCATATTGATTTCATGACATTTACGGTGCACTGACAATGCTTTTCATATACAATTTTTTTAGATTTCACAGCACACAAATTCTTGTATTAAAATGCACAATTTTAGAAATATATTTATATATTATTATTTGTAATACACTTTTGTCTTTAAATACAAGCAGTCAGATAAATGAACTGCACTTTAAATTTTACCTGCTCAAAGAATACACTCTTTTCAATGTATCAAACAAAACAAAACTACATGCATAGAACAACATAAGCAGTTATAACAAATAAATTAAAGTAAATATTATCCCGCTTGCCTTTTGGGTGTTGTCAAGCAAGTTTTTATACACCTGGGATTGGTCATTGTGTTCCCGCACTCAACAAAAATGGCTCTGATTTGTCTCCTACAGCTGTCGTTATTTACTGATGAGTGACGTGGATACAGATAAACGGCCGCGGTTATGGTCTTTAATGTGCGTTAAACATGGTTGATCCTTGATAGATACGGTGAAGAAAACTCGCTTCTGATGTAACAGGTCAATTAAGTTTAATTAAGTTTTTTGGTTTAAAACTCATCAATCGTGCAGGCCTACTTCTAAATCATAGAAATACCATAATGTTTGGCGATATTTAAGAAACGTCCTAAGTGAACAAATTTGTTTATCTGGATCAGTGTTGGAATGTCTGTCTTTGTTTTGGTCTTTATAACCCGCACACTGCCAGTTTACCCAATTATAATTCATCACACTGGGTTACCTTGGTGGAAAAAAAAACTGCTTTTCATTTCAGTCATAAAGGCATGACTGCATCAATATAAAAACAAAATCTCTTATTGTGTGTCATCGCTTGTAGTAAAATACGGTGTAGGCTGTATAGTCAGGCACGCTCACTCTTGTTGGTGTCGTCAATCTGGCAACCTGCATTTGAGAAGGGGCTGGTTGAAAAAGTGTTTTGATTTTGCAGTGCAATACCTAGTTTGATCACTGGGTGTCAATCGTACCTACTGCACCATTTAAAAATCTTCTTTAATAGTATGTTTAAGAAAACATCTTGGATGACCTGACTGAGGATGTTGGATTAACTACACATTTACCTTTTTTGGTGAACTGTCATCTTAAAAACCTGCAAAAGCATTTGCCTTAAAGTCTGTGTGAAATCTAAATGAACAACTTTTATTTTTCTAGCGCTCATTGTTTTTCTTTAGGTAAACAATCTAACATTAAAGTGACTAAATCCACTGAAATACAATGTTTGTTATTGGTAATCTTCAATCAAAATCTGACCATGTCCTTTTGCATTTGTAGTAGTGATCCTTCCCTGCTGACATCAGTTTGACTGCTTCAGCCACTATTTTCTGAACAACGCTTCTCTTACTGTTAGTTTGCTATGAGGGAATGATGTGCAAAAAGAAAGCCCCTCCCAGTAGGCAATATTCCATTTCAGTTGGAAGTACATCAACATACTGAAAGTTTTAGCAACTTTTGGTTCATCCAGACTGTATAGAAAGTTTTAGGTCAAGTGCACCCCACGTGACATGGTCAACGATGTAAATGCTAAACCAATTCATTTGTGAAATATCTTTGCATGATAATGAATGAAGACTAACTGATAAACATGAAAACAGTAAACATTTCCACCCTATTCCAGCAACTATTTTCCCTGGGCTTCTTCAGAGTGGTGGATTTGTGCCCGATGTGCAGCATGTGTGATGTCATGTTTCAGTCAGGAGGACTTGGCTTTATAATGATGTGAGACTCACAATAATGTTTTGTGTCTGCTCTCGTTCACTGTCAGTTGTAAAGTAGAGAACTACAAAACACTCTTTCGGATTTTATGATACGCATGATCTCATAATTTGAAAAAAAATCTAAAACAAAACATCCTAAACGCATTGCTTCTGAATATAAAATTTTACTCGAGGTTTTTCTTACTTAGGATTGGCTGAAAGTGCCTGATTTGCATATGTAGGCCTGTTCATACTTCGCTTTTAAGAGCAAATGTTTAAAGCATTAAATCATCTTTTTTACCATCTCTCACTAATCCTGTTTCTTTCCTTTGTCCCAACAGAGGCGTTTGCGTCACTTGCGGAGCATAGCAGCCCGTAACATTGTGAACAAGAATGGCTCTCCTCTGCTTGACACTTACTTCACCCTCCACCTCTGCCAGGATGATCAGATATCACGAGGTGACTGATGCCACTCTCTGATTGTTCCAATAATTTAGTGCTTAACGTTTCAGTGTCAGTGATCTGTGACCTCATGCAAAAGTAACTGAATATTTTTAAACACTGTCTTCCATTAATCATTCAAGGAAATGGCTCCGCCTCCAAACTCACCCTACCAACCTGTAGTTTGGAGGTGGAGCCATTTTCTTGAATGACCAATGGAAGACAGCATTGAAAAATATTCAGTTACTTTTGCATGGTAACATAGCTGTTGTTGGGCTGGTCGATTCACTCAAACAAACAGTGCAGTGTTTTGATTCTGCCTTAGTGTTTACATTTTACAAGACAACAAACCCGCTATATTTAATTGGTCAACAGCAGCCAGTGCTGTATTGTTGGTTTGCATTAATAGTTGGCTTGCGTCATGAGTATGTTCATGTTGTGTTTGCGAGAATGCCATGCCAGTATACCGATAATTAGTTCATGATATCTAGATATATTGCACCAAAAAATATTGCGATAAATTATATTTTCTTTTTAGAGTCATTTTATGCCACTCAGGGATGTGATTCTCAATGGGGTGACCCCTGTAATTTGCGTAAATAAAAAATTTTTTTTTGAGGGGTGGGGGTGGAGGGGAATGTCAGAAAGAGACCTCATTGATGGTTGGCATCTTCGTTGGTTATCATTGTGCACAAGAAGGAGCATTAACTGCTTCATTCCAGTCGTCATTTAGGTATAATGATATTGTGTAGTCCTATAATGTGCGCATATGATGAAGCCGCAGACAATATGCAACTATATGAAATCGATTTAAATGCGATCGCTTTGCATGTCACGACCACGTGTGCTCTATGTACTTTATAAATAAAGCCAGGGCGCACTTTTGTTATTATCCTCTGCAAGTCACCTGTTCTGTTTTCTTCATTTATTCAATAAACCCGAGCACCTGAAATGTGATATCTGAAATTGTCATGAAATTGTAATACCAATTTATAAAACTCTATTTTATAATTAAACCTATTAAAAAGCAGGGACTACGCTAAAGGAAAAGGAAAGTGATAAACTCTTTAACGATGCATGATATATTTTTCAGGGTGGAATGTTAAAGCATTTTAGGCTGCTCAATTCAACTGGACTTTCTATATTTACAGTTCGAATTGTTGACTGACTAGTAGTTTATTTATCACGTGGAATAAAGAGTCGACTAAATTAACGTGAAATGTATATTTTTTTGGACACAAGAGAGCTAACCAAGTTAGTGACGCCATCTAGTGGCGGTGTGGATCTGTCCTGACATTCAGGTCTCGTCTTCCTTCTTTTTTGTCCTAGGCTGTTCACATGCCTGTATTTTTTTCTGAAAAAATATTTCATTTAATTATAGTCATTTTAATAATTTAATAATTAGGGATTCGGAATGTAAAAACGCATATCCTAAATAAATAAATAATAATAAATGTTAACAAAAAAGTGAAAGGTAAAAAGTTACAGAAGCTGCGATATCTGCAGCTAGATCAATTTTCAGTTGTCAGGCACCCACATGAAAATATACTTGAGTAATTTATAGTAAATACTATAGTGTTTTTTTACCGTACTGACACTGATACCTCCAATAGACATAAAGATGTTGCACAATCATCTTAAGTGTTGCAATATTTATCGTCTATATATAAACACTAATTCTAGCATCATCAAAAATGATTGAGGTCATGTCTATATGTTGTGCGATAAATCGATATATTGATTATTATGAGATGGGTCTACCGATAATCCCACCTACAGTACTTTAAGCAGTACTGAACTGCTATTTAAATGCAAAACAAGCCCAGCAAAACTGAACTGAAGTGAGCTGTGCCTAATCATTCTGTACCTTTCAGTAGAGAAGTTTTAAAATGGGGGGCATTCGAGTTTATTCCATTTTTTTAAGTAACTTTAAACTTTAAAAAAAAAAGCTAACCATAAGATGTTTGCAAACTCTTTTAAAATACATTTTCTAAATTTAGACTTCACGTTATTTATTTCCCCTTCCATTATGGAAGGGGTAACTGCAGGTTGGAGTTTTTGAAGCCCATAGGCAGAATTATTTATTATTTTAGACTTTTACAGCTATTAAATAAATTGTTATAGTATATTCATTTAATGGTGCACAGTAATTAATATTGTTTTTGTGAACAGTTTACTTTATAATACAGTACTGATTTATATTTAGTGGATTTCACTGTACATGTTTTTGCAGTTTGCTCTAAGTATAAAGATGAAATGAACAGTGCTTATTTGGAATGGACGTTTTGTGGGGCTTTATGCTGTGCCTTTAACTTTTGAAGAAATAAAAATCAGAACCCTAATATTTAACAGTGTCTTTTTTTCCTCATTCAGATTTTTACAAGAGTGAAGTCATCCGAGACTCATTGGTGAGTGCTTTTGCTTCCATCTGTGATTTACTGCTTTTGTTATATTCCACAATGTGAAATGAAAGACTGAACACAGTAAATCAATAGCATAATAGCATGGTGTAGAACAGAATGTATGTTAAAGCACATGTTATTGTTATTGTGGAGCATCAATATTGTCTCCTCTTCATTTTCTGCTGTAATAATAGATATTTTTAGTTTTTTTTTTTTGTTAATACGTGTGGGTGATATTAGCAGAAACAACAGTGATTTAAGAAAAGGCCTGTTATCTGGTTTTACAATTGAGTTTAAAATTGATCACAATTGCACAATCCTGAAAATTGGTGTACTTTTTTTGAGCTTTTTGACTTAAAAACACATTTGAATGGATTGCTTCATGAATCATTGAAAGTATTTGATTAACCACAAAAAATATCTCTTCCCCTAATGACTAAACTTTGCTGCCTAAAATCTGATGTTTGGTTTCAAAGCAAAATCAATTTTCGATGTTTTCTCTCTTAATTTTAACACAAACTCACTTCGTTTGTTGTAGATTTTAAATTATTTTGAGTGTTTGTAGTGCAGAAATGACACATTTCAAATTAAGATGTTGATGCCAACCTCAAAAGGTACCATTTTAATATCCTCTACAGCCAGAATATGACTGTTAATTGTGTTAAATGGATGACTTGCACAATAAAAAACAACTGTAAATTAACATTTTTCAATATTTTGAGATTTATGTTTTTATTTTATTTTTCCCTGTTTATTTACGCTTTTGCTTTTTGCACTACAGGATCTTTGTTTCAACAACTTTTAACCTTGAAATGTTTGAAAAAAATACTTTTGTAATAGGTTAAATCAGTGTTTCTCAACCATGTCCCTGAAGGGCCACCAACACTTCATGTTTTGGATGTCTTCTTTGTCTGTCACAGAACTTTTAGTCTTCACTAATTAGCTGATAATCTGAATCAGGTGTGTTTGGTTAAGGAGGCATGGAAAATGTGCACAGCAGAGCTGGTGGTGCTCTGAGAACGTGGTTGAGAAACACTACTTTAAAGGGATATATTGGCTGTTTCTCAGTATGCGTTCTTTAGCAATTGTACGTCATTTTGTCTTTGTGTAATGTCATCATTAACTGCCAAAGTTCAGTTCCAATACTCAAGACCGCAAGAACAGAGGACAATTGAAAGTTCCTGCATGTGTTCTTGATATCGAGGATGCTTAGATGCAGACTTGAGCACCAAACTCGCTTTAGAAGTCCCAGAAGTCGTTGCGACTGGAGGTGGGAAGCGCAGCATTTTATATAAATTTATAATTTATTATCTACCTCAGGAGTTTCCCTAAATGAAACAGTGAAAGTAATCATTACCACAAGAATCTTAATGAAGGCATAAACACATTTAGGGTGTTTATTTGCTGAAATTTGTAGTAAAATCTGTTTTATTTGTATTGTGCAACGTATATTTGTAAAGTCTTTATGGATAGTATATATTGTGAAAAGGGGAAAACAATAAATCGTTGTATGAATGCTGTAATGTTTAAATAATTTGTGTGAAGGTCACGTGACTATCGAGAAGAACGCAGCATCTCATTTTGCACAGGACGTGTTCTCTGTTCTCGCGGTCTCCCGAGTTCGTTCTTCTGAGGTGACCTGGCAAGACCGATCTTCACAAGAACACTAGTCCATTCATTCTCTGCGTTATTGGAATTGAGAAACAGCCGTTGTCTGTGTTGGTGTTATAAATTACGCTACAAAAACCTTGTAATAAACTGTCAGTACATTTTCTGTTATTTTACAGACTTCTTTCTCTCTAGATTATATATACATTATATTATTTCAAACCACTTAAATGTCAATAAAAATCCCTTGGTTAAACCAAAGAGATGAATTTTCAACATCAAAAGTCTTCAGCACAGAGATCCCGTAACTCAATTCACAATGTGTGAACCACAAAATACAGAAACTGTTAATAAACAGACATGTTTTAGTGTATGAAGGAACAGACCTGTTAATGTATGTCAAAATGAAATACTTTTTCTGTTTTTTCCCCTCAACCAAAAGCATCAGAGGCCTGTTCCATAAACCAAGCTTAGAGAAAAAGCCAGGCTTATTTTAGTCAGTCAGGTTCATTAATGGCGGATTTGGTTTCATAAATCAAATTTAATAGAAGTTCAAACTCAGTTACTCTGGCAACTTATGCTGGGAAACTAGCCTGGTCCGAGGTAGGTTAACTCTCAAGCTTAAGCAAGGTAATGTTAACATTCACCTGCCGTAATTTGATGTCATTTTATTTACTTTACCTTTTAATAATGAGTAAAATTTTATAGTCTAATGTAATTAATAGTAAATATGTATACACCAAACATCTTTAAGAACAGAACGATATATACGTTTAAAATCTAACAAGTTATTGCAAACAAAACAATTACAACATTTCAACTAAATAAGTTTTTTTTATATTTCTGTAGATTTTTTTTTGCTTGTTTTCTAAAATTTTATGTAGTATTTTCTCTCAACATATTAATTTGAGTGTACAAATTTTTGGACTATGATGTTTAGTTTATTTTTTTGTTAGATTTGTTCCAAATTTTGATTTGGTACTGAATAATCTAATATATATGCACAAACATATTATTATAAGGCATCCTTTAGAAAATATTAATTTAAAAGAGAGATTTGTGAGAGGTGTTCTTAGCTATACGTGTAGTAATATGAATTACAAAGTTTATATAGGAAATAATATTAAGAAAGCAGCGACTGATATAAGGAAGTAGGCTACATTTCTTAAAGATTGACTTTAAAGAATCAAACCCTGAGTGAACTAATCTGCAGATAGATGTGGGCCAAGCTGTAGCCTTACTTTAATATTAAATATACATATTTTCCCATGCGGTGGAAAAAAAAGTGTCAAAGGTTTCACGACAGTAACGTGCACGAGCAGTTATTGAGATTATTTAAACTGAACTTAACTTGCTGTTTTGGAACCAATTCAAGCGTGGATGTTTAGTTCGGCTCTTTCTTGTCAAGCTTTAAACTTTAATCTCCACTTTTCCAATCAATTTTTATGAAACAGCCCCCAGGTGTTCATCTGCAGCACATATGCCTGAAAATGCACTGTGTGTCATATACTGATTAAAAAAAAGCTTTCCTAAATGTTATGTTTGGAATCATATTGTCAAACTTATACTTTTTTTTTTTGAAACAATCCTGTCATTTGAGGAAGGCCTCGGAGGCGCTTAAACAGATGTGACTGTCTTCATTGACTTTTGGAAAAGGATTTAATGAGCATGTGGTCACTCTGTCCAAGCCTGTAATTCTGCTGAAAAACATTGACACTTTGCTCAAGTGTGAAGAGAATAAACATAACACATAAAAGAATATGATCATCATCAGTAATGAGATTTGTATAGGCACAATTAAAGGCTTCATTATAGTCTGCTGTTCAGCCATTTTAATGATGACAGTGATGACTTGTAAATGTCATTGGCAATGAATACTATGTCTTTTGGTGTGTTTGCACATGAATTGACACACCCTCAAAGACACTTTTTATAGCTGGGGGACTGTGTGTGTTCTGTGTGTGTGTTTACCGAGTAGGAAGGGCTGCATAGAGTGCAGTTGTTGAATGCAGTATTATTCAATTGACAAATCAATGATTATTTAATTCAGCATAATAGCATAGCTGGTGGTCTGTTTCTTTGTTTATATACAGTCCCTGCTTGTCCCCAAGGTCATTAGAGCAAAACGGATCATAGTTGTACAAACAGCCTATTTGTGAGGTTTTACACTGTACCTTAGAGTTTGAGTCAATTTAAAGGTATAGTTCAACCAAAAATGAAAGTTGCTTCACCATTACTTTGAGAATATTGGAACGTTTTAGTTTTTTTATACATGCGTGTAAACATACTCAATGTAAACCAAATTTTGTATTTTTAAGCGAGAATCGGAACTGTACTTTAATAACATTTGAGTACCCTAACAAGAAAGCGGTGACAACTTATAAAACATCTGCTTTATTTGATATTCTGCATTAATTTGTTATTTTTTTATTTGCCCTCTCATTTATTTATTTATTTATTTATTTATTTATTTATTTATTTATTTATTTATAATAATAATAATAATAATAATAATAATAATAATAATAATAATAATAATAATAATAATAATAATAATAATAATAAATAATAATAATAATAATAATAATTATTATTATTATTATTGTTATTATTATTTATGGTTTATTTTTTCTTTCTCATTTTTCTCATTATACTTTAAAACTGTCAAAAGAAATATCTGTATTATTTGGACTATACTCACTTATTATTATTGCAATTAAATATTACATTATGTGGATTTAAACAAAAAAAAGATCTTTAAAAAAGTGCTGGTTTAGTAAAAAGTAGTGCAAAAAGTTGTCATCAACCAGCATTCTTCAAAGTAGCTTCTTTTGTGTTCAGCAGAATAAAGAAACTATGGAACAAGTAAAGGATGCATAAATGATGGCAGAATCTATATTTTTATGTGAACTATTCCTTTAAAGTTTTGATTTATTTGCACCATCATCACTCAAAATGGCTTATTGCGAAAGTTCAGTGTGGAATCAAAATGCACAAGGTTTCAAGAGTTCATGCTTAACAGATGATTGATTATAAAACTTGTTTGTATTGCTGTACCAGCAGAGAGCCCTGAGCTCATTAGATCCTCGACCCTGGGGCTCTTTCCCAATGCAAGGCAAGAGGGGAGTTTGAGCTCAGGTAGAACTCAGGAACTCCTTTGCTGTAGGAATGAACAGATAGTTATTGCTCTTAAGAGATAACTACTTACCAAGTGCATGTCTATGGTGCCGACTTGGATTAGTCAGTTAACTTATGTTGCATGTTTTTGGATGGTGGGTAGAAACCGGGGGAAACCTATGCGAGCACGAGGGAGAACGTGGAAACTCCTCACTGAAACGTTGGCTGGCTTGGTAATGACTAGAACCAAAGAGGTTCTTGCTGTGAGGCAACAGTGCTAA